GTCTCTACTAAAACTACAAAAAATTAGCTGGGCTTGGTGGCACGTGCCTGTAATCCCAGCTACTCAGGAGGCTGAGGCAGGAGAATTACCTGAACCTAGGAGGCGGAGGTTGTGGTGAGCCGAGATCGCACCATTGCACTCCAGCATGGGTAACAAGAGTGAAACTCTATCTCAAAAAAAAAAAAAAAAAGGGAATAATTTCAGAAGGAAGGTACCAGCTCCTCTTTGTACATCTGGTAGAATTCAGCTGTGAACTATCTGGACCTGGACGTTTTTTGGTTGGTGGGCTATTAATTGCTGCCTCAACTTCAGCCCTTGTTATTCAATACAAAGAGAGGGAATCATTCCCAAATCATTTTATGAGACGAACATCATCCTGATATCAAAACCTGGCAGAGACTCAACAAAAAAAGCAAACTTCAGGCCAATATCCATGATGAACATGGATGCAAAAATCTTCAATGAAATACTGGCAAACCGAACGCAACAGCACATCAAAAAGCTTATCCACCACGATAAAGTAGCCTTCATTCCAGGGATGCAAGGCTGGTTCAACATACGCAAGTCTATAAACATAATCCACCACATACACAGAACCAAAGACAAAAACCACATGATTATCTCAATGGATGCAAGGAAGGCCTTCAACAAAATTCACCAGCAATTTATGCTAAAAACTCTCAATAAACTAGATATCAAAGGAACATATCTCAAAACAATAAAAGCCATTTACAACAAACCTCCAGTCAATATCATACTGAATGGGCAAAAACTGGGAGCATTCACTTTGAAATCTGGCATTAGACAAGGATGCCCTCTGTCACCACTCCTATTCTATATAGTATTGGAAGTTCTAGCCAGAGCAATTAGGCAAGCAAAAAAATAAATAAATAAATAAAGGGTATTCAATTAGGAAAACAGGAAGTCAACCTGTCTCTATTTGCAGATGACATGATTATATATTTAGAAGACCCTATCTTCTCAGCCCAAAATCTCCTTAAACTGATAAGCAACTTCAGCAAAGTCTCAGGATACAAAATCAGTGTGCAGAAATCACAAGCATTTCTATACACCAATAACAGACTAACAGAGAGCCAAATCATGAGCAAACTCACAATTGCTACAAAGAGAATAAAATACCTGGGAATACAACTAACAAAGGATGTAAAGGACCTCTTCAAGGAGAACTACAAACCACTGCTCAAGGAAATAAGATAGAACACAAACAGAGAAACATTCCATGCTCATGGTTATGAAGAATCAATATCATGAAAATGGCCATACTGCCCAAAGGAATTTATAGACTCAATGCTATCCCCATCAAGCTACCAATGACCTTCCTCACAGAACTGGAAAAAACTACCTTAAACTTCATATGGAACCAAAAGAGAGCCCGCATAGCCAAGGCAATCCTAAGCAAAAAGAACAAAGCTGGAGGCATCATGCTACCTGATTTCAAATTATACTACAAAGCCACAGTAATCAAACAGCATGGTACCGGTACCAAAACAGACATACAGACTAATGGAACAGAAGAGAGGCCTTGGAGGCAATGCCACACATCTACAACAATCTGATCTTTGACAAACCTGACAAAAACAAGCAATGGGGAAAGAATTCTCTGTTTAATAAATGATGTTGGGAAAAGTGGCTAGCAGTGTGCAGAAAGCAGAAACTGGACCCCTTCCTGACACCTTACACTAAAATTAACTTCAGATGGATTAAAGACTTAAACATAAGACCTAACACCATAAAAACCCTAGAAGAAAACCTAGGCAAAACCATTCAGGACATAGGCATAGGCAAAGACTTCATGACTAAAACACCAAAAGCATTGACAACAAAAGCCAAAATAGACAAATGGGACCTAATTAAACTCCAGAGCTTCTGTACAGCAAAAGAAACAATCATTAGAGTGAACCAGCAACCAACAGAATGGGAAAATTTTTTGCAATCTACCCATCTGACAAAGAGCTAATATCCAGAATCTACAAAGAACTAAAACAGATTTACAAGAAAAAAACAAACAAACGACCCCATCCAAAAGTGGGTGAAGGATATGAACAGGCACTTTTCAAAAGACGACATATATGAGTCCAACAAACATAAGAAAAAATGCTCATCATCACGGTTAGAGAAATGCAAGTCAAAACCACATTGAGATACCACCTCATGCCAGTTGGAATGGTGATCATTAAAAAATCTGGAGACAACAGATGCTGGAGAGGATGTGGACAAATAGGAACACTTTTACAGTGTCGGTGGGAGTATAAATTAGTTCAACCATTGTGGAAGACAGTATGGTGATTCCTCAAGGACTTAGAAATAGAAATTCCATTTGACCCAGCAATCCCATTACTGGGTATACACCCAAAGGATTATAAATCATTCTATTATAAAGACACATGCACACGTATGTTCATTGCGGCACTGTTCACAATAGCAAAGACCTGGAACCAACCCAAATGCCCATCAAGGATAGACTGGACAAGGAAAATGTGGCACATATGCACCATGGAATACTATACAGCCGTAAAAAACTATGAGTTTGTGTCCTTTGTAGGGACATGGATAAATCTGGAAACCATCATTCTGAACAAACTGACACAAGAACAGAAAATCAAACATTGCATATTCTCACTCATAGGCAGGTGTTGAACAACGAGAACACATGGACACCAGGAGGTGAGCATAACACACTGAGGTCTGTTTGGGGAGGCCAAGGGAGGGATAGTGGGGGTGTGGAGAGGTCAGGGAGAGATAACATGGGGAGAAATGCCAGATGTAGGTGACAGAGTGATGGAGACAGCAAACCACATTGCCATGTGTATACCTATGCAACAATCCTGCATGATCTGCACATATACCCCAGAACCTAAAATGCAAGGAGAACAAAAATAAATAAAAAAAGAAGGGATTGGCCCCGCTCCAATCTTCCCTTAGGAGAACCTGCAGCTGGGAGCAGAGCGGCTTGCCAGGCTCCAGCTGCGATGCCTGTGGAACCCCTCTAAGCTACACTCTCCCAGGAGGTCAATGGCTGCACACAGCAGGGGTGTTAGGACTGTGGCTGCCTGTGGCAGGGGCATTAGGACTGGCTCTTCTTGCCTAGAGTGGGACTCCTCTTGTGGGCGACCATTGCCTGGGGCTCCCCACTGACCTGGCTGAAACTTTCTGGGAACTGTGTTGTGGACCAAGGCTCTTCCCACATGGACTTCCTCCAATAAGTCTGCTGAACTTGTAATCCCATCATGGCATCTACATCTTGCAGGACCTCAAGTGACACAGTGGTCATGCCTTTTTGCCTTCCCGTTCACTTCCCAGAAACAGAGCTCCAACCCTCGAGTTGGCAGCCTTCCCAAAGTGAGGATCATGGTGGTGATTTCTCATCACATCCAAAACGTCTAAAGATAAGAGGGGTTTGTGTGCCTTAGGACTAGGGAGATAACAGCCCTGACTCTCCTAGGGCAAATGTTTATCATTTTGCTGACAGACACCGGATCACTATCCTTTTGCACCACACCTCCTATGGAGCAGACTGTGTCTAACTTGCCTCTCTCTCCAGCACATGATGAAACATCAGGTCCACAGCAACTGAACTGAATCAGTGTAGGGAGTGGAAGGCAAGAGCTGGTACTGGACTTCACAACACTCACAATTAGCCATCATCGCCTATCCAACCAGCATCTCATTCCAGGGAGCTGGGTGGCACATGTGGTAAGTACCTGACAGCAGGACCATGGCTGCCACAAGCCAAGGGAGAGGCTGCCTCTGGAGACGTGGAGACCAGCTTGTGTTCTCAGCTGGACCTAGTTAGGCAGCTGGGGAGAGCACGGAGACCTCCTACTGAGGCTGTGGAACAGTCATAATAACAAGCCTTGGGGCCCATTTCTATTTTTGCTTTTTGAAACAAAGTCTCACTCTGTTGCCAGGCTGGAGTGCAGTGGTGCAGTCCTGGCTCACTGCAACCTCCGCCTTCCGGGTTCAAGCGATTATCCTGCCTCAGCCTCTTAAGTAGCTGGGATTACAGGTGTGCACCATCACGCCCAGCTCATTTTTGTATTTTTAGTAGAGACAGGGTTTCACCATGTTGGCCAGGCTGGTCTCGAACTCTTGACCTCAGATGATCCACCCACTTCGGCCTCCCAAAGTGCTGGGATTACAGGCGTGAGCCACCGTGCCTGGCCCTTGGGGCCCGTTTCTAATCACAGGATCTCTCCTGAAGCCTCCGCAGCAAGTGCTTCCTCCAGCCCCCCACTTCCCAGCCCCTGGTCTAGGCATGGAAGCTGCTGTAGATGCCAGTGGGCTGAAGTCGGTCAAGGAGGCTTCCTGAAGGCTAATGTTTAGCCAGGATTTGAATGCTGTGGACATAGATACACAAAGAGATGAGAAGATGTAGAAGAATGTAGAAACGCTACTTTTTTGGAACAGAGCTGCTCTTGTGAGGTAATCATGGACAGCGGTTAAAGGAATGTGGGTAGCTCCACAGAGTGGGGCCCACCAAGGAAACCCCAGCAGGTACTGGCATAGTCCATTCACGAGTTCACATTTGAGCCAACCGATTTTAGGGAGCTTGTGGGTTCCAGGGCCAGAAATTGTGAGAAAACTAGAGTTTCAGCCACATGGTTTCAGCCTCCACGTGTAGGCTGGCGCAGGTGAACTAAAGAAGCAGAAAGCTTTCTTTGGGAATTCAAGGGCAGGCGAGCCTGCCTGGGAGTGAGGATGGGCATAAGCAAATGCATGGAACGAACTCCCTGCCCCGAGAGACTAGAAAGGATAACCACCCTGGGGAGGCTGCCGTGTTCACACGGAAGCCTTAGAAGGTCTTCAGCCGTTTTCTCATTTAACACTGGGGTGAACACGGCAAAGTAACTTTAACAGGAAATGCCCATGACCTGAAGGCAGGGTGGGCAGCTAGAATTTTCCCACGTCACACAGAAACCGCTCTCCAACCAGGTAAAAATGCCCAACACTCACCTCGCAGAAAGCACCAGACACTGTCGTTTTACTCTGTTATGAATATTTATTTTTTTCTTCTTAAAAATGTACAAAAAATAAAATAACTGTATTTATATAGATTCCCCCTCTCCCATTTACAAAACTATTAAGTTACATTTACCTTTTTTTTTCTTTCTTTTTTTTTTTTTTTTTTAACATGAGAGCAAACTGTACATATATCAATCTCCCTTGCTTGTCTTTAAGAAAGGGCCGTTCATAGCATTTGGCACAAACCCTCTATTTCTGTTGCATTTTCATGATTTTAAATAAGAAGGAAAATAAACGTTTGAGTTATTTCACGCCTCCTAAGTTTCTGGGCCACGACATGCCTTACTTTTTTAGAAACCAATTCCAAGATGGCATCTAACTGCATTTTCTGTTGATCCCAACTTCTAAACACTCATAAAGTCTAAACAATTTGGAGATGTATGAGAAAAAACTCCTGTTCTGTTCAGACTTTGTTTAAAAAAAGAAAAATGCTCATTTCACATGTCCATGATCTTCCATGGATTTTTTTAAGCTTATTTATTTGAGTGTGACTAATTTAAGGGACAAAAAAGAAGAGGAGGCAAGTGTTCCTATCTCTTTGGAGTGTTTTGCTCAGGAAATTTTTCTCATCAAAGCTCTGCTAACGTACACAGCGAAGGACACATCAAAGCCAAGCTGGGATGATCTGAGGATTCAGAGGGAACGGATCGGAAGGGAGGTGGCACTTGGCACCACTGTCTGGTGACACTGGCCTTGTATCCCTTGTTGTGGCAATTGTCACCACCATGATTGCTTAGGGACTTAGGAAACATGCAGAAGCATCTTCAATTCATCTTCTGCCTTAGGGCAGGGCTGGCAAACTGTTTCCTAAAGAGGCTAGAGAGAGAGGGTAGGTTGCTTGTGGCAGACTACCAAATCGTTGTCTTTTTCCTACTCCGAAGTCCTATGTCCCAGCCCGAGTATTTGCCATTGTTATGTCTGCCAATCATGTTTCAAACTATTCCTAACCCAAGGAGCATGGGAAGTGCATAGTACAACATGTATTTCCAACACTGAATTTGTCCATCTCAGAACAGAGCCCCATTAGTACCCTGGAGGGCCCCCGCCGAGCTGTTGATCTGGGGTGTGGCAGTCAGAGTGGAGGAGAAGAGGACAGACTGGAGCACAGCTGGATCCACGATGCAAACCTTTGGCACCACAGGAAGTGTTAACATGCCCAGAGGACACACAGAGCCGGCCCCCTCACTGCCGCAGAGATCTTCTTGGGCACAGCACCTGCTATCTGTCCCATTTAATTCCTCTGCAGCCTCAAGGAGGAACAGCTGAGCTAGAAGCAGCCCCTCTGTCCTGCTCTGCATCTCAGGGCAGATGAGGCGGGAGCGCAGGAAGCCCTGAGAGAGGGCGCCTCCAGGTAAGAGTCAAAGTGCTTTCCAAATTAATCTGGACATTTATAGAGAAACTGTCCTAGACCCAGGGCCTTAGGTGCAAGATGTGTCTAGCTACCAAAAAGCTAGTGCTTCAGCCCACAAGGGTAAATGCAAACCCCTAAACTAAACCTGTCCCCTCAAAGAGAACAGCGGTCCATGATGGTGCATCATTTTGTGATTGTTTAGGGGAGTGTTTTTCTCTTCCAGCTCCCAGGCGTGTAGCAGGAGAATACTCTCTCCTAGTTTGCCTCCTGAAGCTGGTTTCACAGGAGCCAGCACTCTTGGCACATTATCTCACTCACTTCCTTAAACCCAGCATCCAGGAGTGACGCAAACCATCCCTCCTTTCCGTCTAGTGGCCCAGGAGGAAGACCCAGCCTGCCGACTTAGAGCTGAGCTGTTCGCAGCTCTCATGCTGCAGCAGGCCTTTGAAAGGACCACTCGAGATGAAGGACGTGCTTGTAAACTGCGAGGCACAGGCACAGTGTCCAGGATTCTCATGATAGCTGAGCAGCTCTGTAGCAGGCCAATCACAGGGCCCCCTGCAGAGGCTCTCCAGAATGCTCAGGCCGTGCCCGCAGCCAAAGCTGGAGGAGGAGCTGGGGTCTCAGACAGGATGACCTTTCCCACGAGTCAGAGAGTCAAGCAAAACACATCATCGTGAGATAAACGTGGTGGCCTTGAAGGAGAGTCATGTCCACGGAGAGGGAGAGGGGGCTTCCCCTGGGGACAGGGAACGAGCCCCAGGTATGGCCACGGCATATCCATCTTGGCATCAGCTGCAGTCACCTTAACATCCCAAAGGCCCTCTCCCTAGCCCTGCATGTCTCCTGAACAGGCACAGAGGCAAAAATCCCCGTTAAAACAGTCTCCAGGTCTGTGTTTTTCCTAGGCCAGTGGCAGTAAACATGCCCACACACCACAGGTAAAATATATTATTACAATATTATAAACACTATGTACAATGCAGGCAGGCAGACTTTCTGTGTTACTTACTAATTACACAGTGGCTGAATGTCTTCCTGTACAAGGCCTGGTGGCCACTTGCTGGGAACCCTGGAGATATTTAGCAAGACAACCTTCCCCAGAGCAACCTGAAGGTGTTTGACCAGAAAGGGGGCATCCACCTCTTACCCCACCGATGACTACTGCACCCAGAAGTAGCTCATTTTGTCCAGCCACTTGGGAGATGTGGAGGGGTGAGAAAGAAAGGATGGAAATTTTTTAGGTTGTTGGAGATGAGTTTCTCTTGAAGGGAGAATGCTGGACGGTCTCATCTGGAGCTAGCGGTGACCTGCAGCGTCCTAGCGGGCCTGGACCCTGGCTCCAGGAAAAGGTGGGCAATAAATAGGAATCCGACAGGCCGAAGGCATCTTCCTAGGGGCTCAGGCTTCAGCTCCGTGGTAGATGCCGGTGGATGGACCAAGCACACCGACAGTGAGGCCTGTCCTTGCCCCACTCCCCAGCTCAGTCTTGTAACAGCAGTTGAGAGATTGGGGAGATGGGTCTCCTGGTTCTGGGACCAGGTCCTCTGCCTCTCCCAGGGAGGAACGCATTGAGAGCTCCAGCCAAAGTGAGATGCCAAACCCAGGGCTAGATTTCCATGAGCGTGACCTTGAAGCCCTCCACCATGCTCTCCATGTTGAGGATGAAGGTGTCCTCATTCGAGTAGTGCTCAATGATGTTGTCATCCATGTTCACCAGGATGCTGCCATGGAGGGGGAGGGTGTGAAAAACAAAGATGCCATGAACAATGTGCTCAGGGCAAGGGGAGCTCCAGGCTCAGGGTTCTCGTAGCCATTGTTTTGTGGTGGAGGCTGGGAGAGTGGAGGACAGAGGATACAGGCAGGGAAAGACACTCATTCTGTTTGCTTTCCCCAAAAACTAGTTTGAGGAAAGCAAAGCCTCAACTTCTCAGAACTAACATTCAACCCAACCTGCTTGCTTTCTATATTAGTAAACTGAGGCCCAGGGAAGTTAGGAAGTCCAGAATCACAGAGTTAGTGATTACCAGGGCCAGGACCTAAATCATTAGGCCCCTACCTCTTTCCCTTAAACCATAGTGCCTCTTGAAAATGCACTTTTAAAGATGCGTTGCCTCTGCTCTTAGGAGTAAGAGGAAAAGAAGCAAGAATTGCAGCTCCCCTTTTTTGAGCATGTAATATGATCTTGTATTTAGTTCTCACAGCGACTTTGAAGGTAGGCGTCATCATCGCCATTTTGCAAATGAGAAAACTGAGCTCAGCAAGGTTAAATTGTTTCCCCAAGTTCATTCAGTTAGTGCATGGCCAAGCTTGATTTTGAAAATAGCTTTACCTCACTCTGACACTTATACTTTACCACCTGTGACCTACTCCTTGGCTAACTATCCCTGCTAGAGTTCTAAGAAAGCCAACAGCTTCCAGAGACTTCCATAATTTCCTTAAAGCCAATTTCATGATTTGAAGTCAGGCAAATGCTAGTTTGAGAATGAAGTATTGACGACCTGACACACTATCATTTCACAGTGTGTCAGCAGGCAAGCTGTTCAGCATTTCAGAGCCTCAGTTTATTCTTCTGCAAAAGTAAGAACAATCATCCAGCTTTAAAGGATTGTTCATAGGATAAAAACATTCAGCACAGGACCTGACATAGAGTTTGACGAAAGCAAAATGTTATCATCAGCATGTACCTCTGCACTGAGGATTTCTGCTCAGCAATAAGACTGTGAGACACCACTCAAATCTCACTGTCAGAGGAGTACACCCAGCCTATTTCATTGATCTTGGCAAGAAGAAGAATGTGCATTTTAGTCCAACAAGAGCTCAGGTGGAAAGGGCTTCCTGTCATATCCTCCAATCAACCAACAGGACTCATAACTCAGAAAGCCTGAGCATCCCAGATAATCCAACTTCCTTTATGAAATTGATCCAGAGAAGAGTTGAAAGACTCATCTTCTGCTTTTTGTAGGAAAATACTCCAGAAGCTGAGTCAACAGATACTCTCTCCTGGGACTTAGGCTAGGTCTGTGGCTCTTACTGTTAGACCTTCACATACAGGAAGCCCATGCAGGAAGTCAGACAGGAGAATGTGGGAACTAAGCACTTGAGCCTTGAGGACATAGACCTGGGTTCAAATCAGTGCTCTACCTACTGAACATGAGAACTTGGGTGAGATGCTTAAGCCCCTCTGCCTTGGTTTTCTCATCAATAAATCAGAGATAAGAGATTCCACCTCATACAGTGCTGAGAATTAAATAGAGGAATACATGTAAAACACGTAGGAAGGGACCTTGAACCGACCTAACACCCAGTAAATATGACCTATTGTTCTTAACAATGAGAACAGACAGGTCCAATGATTATTCGAGAACCTTTTCTTGAAAATTACCTTAGAAGAATCCCCTATGTTCCAAACCATTTTTTGTTCCTAGTATGCCAACCAGAAACCAACCCCAAGAGCCACACGTGATTCCCTATAAACTCCGCTTCCTGCAAAGAGGTGACTTTGCCATTCTCCTCAGTGTCTTCAACACCTCCAGACCTCTGTGGTCTGCCTGCTCATCCTGTCATTGGAATAGGGCATCTCAGTTGACACAGTGCCAATGCACTGCCTCCCTCCCTCTCTCCCTGAAGATCTTCCAAATACAATCTGCTCTGCAATTCTCTGGAAGAAGGACACAATTTTTAAGAAAAGTGGGCAACAGACCTAACAAAAGACAGGCATCATTTTATTTTTAAGGCATCATGTAGACTTATCTGATTTGGAAGTCAACGTAAGTTGAGTTCCTTTCTTACCCTTTTTTGCTTTTCTTGTAAAGCTTTGCTATCTTCTCCACGGGCAGCCCATATTTCTCAGATATCTGTAATACCAATAACAAGAAGGCAGATGAGCATGGAAGGACACCCAAGTTGAGGCAAGGGGAAAGTTCCAATTTCACTTCTTGGAAATTTTCCCAGGCATAGAGTGCTCTTCACTCATGAGCCAAACTCTCAAAACACTCATTTATGAGGCTCTCCCTTTGGATAGACTGTAAATCACTCAACAAAGGATTTAGCATTATGGGAATTCAATCTATGATAAAAGTAGCATTCCAAGTCAGTCAGAAAAAGATGAACTATAACCATGATGTTGGATGAAATAGTAGCCATCTAGAAAAAAATTTAACAAGTTACATTGGATTTCTTCTCCACTCCTTACACCAAAATAAATTTGATACAGATCAAAGATTTACATGTGAAAGATAAAACCATAAAAGTAGAGGAAGAAACCATGAGTTTTTGGATAGCTGTCATCTTAAAAAAGATCTTTCTAAACAAGACATGAAACCTAAAGAAAAATGACACAAGGTCAACAAAAACAACACAATTTTTAAAATGCAATATAGAAAAAAATAATTAAAAAGCCGAAGACAAAAAATACACTGGGTAACATTTTTGCAACACAAATGACAGACATGGAACTAACTTCCTTAAGTTAAAAAGAGCTCCTGCAAATCAATAAAAAGATTAGCAGTTCAATAGGCAAAGGAAGAAAAACACCTGAAGAAGCAATTCACAGAAGAAAAATAATTGGACAATGAGCATATGAAAAAATATACCACAAGTCATAATTTAAAAATTTCAAATTAAAGTAGGATACTACTTTTATTTTTCAAGCTAACAACAAACTAAAACTTGATAATGCAATATCAGCCAGAGTATGAGAAACAGCAATTCTCATATTCCATATTATTACTCTCATATGCAATAATAACAAGCTCAACCCTTTGGAAAGAAATTTGGCAGAAGCTATTAAAATTTAAAATGCATGTATCCTTTGACCCACATATTCCATATCTAGTAATAGAGTCTACAGAAATACATTCAGATGTACACAAAGATTTTCAAAGCATCACTGTTTAGAATGGAGAAAACTGGATATAACAAACATCTATGAAACACATTTTAACATTTCACACTTAAAAACCATGCAGTCGTCAAAAGAAATGTGGGAAGCCGACATGAATTCACATTAACAAAAATATTCTTAACATACTGAGGAGAAAATACTAAGTTGCAAAATTGTGTATATAGTGTGATCCCACTTGTAGTTTCAAATATATATATATATATATGTATGTATGTAACTAAGTACATGGAAAATATTTGAAGGGTCCACCAACCTATTAGCAGGGGCTACTGCTACAGAATGGACAGAAACAAGGAGATATTTTACTTTTTATTTTGAACAATTCTGTTCTATTTATTTTATTTTTACAATGATTGTGTTTCACTTTTATAAAGTAGTAGTTTTTACAGATGGATTCTGGAAAGCCCTGCTCTAAATGTCTTTCATGCCCTCTCTACTTCCAAATCAAATCTGTCTGCCCCTTCAGAGCCCAGTGGCTGGTGGGGCTCACAGGCAGCTGAGAAAGGTGACGTTTGAAATGTGGATTATTGGAAAGTCCAGCAGAGGCTAGAAAGAGAGGCTGAAGATGTCTAGAGCAGAGCTGGAAGAGCTTTGGATCCTAAGAAGAGTTCACTCTGCAGAGAATCACAGATTCCCACCCTTCTGTCCCTCTCACCCCGCAGGAAGAATTCCCCATCCCCTAACAAGGCTAGAAGGCAGGGGAACAGGTAAGCAGAGAGCTGTGAGAGCAACAGCAGACTGGGAATGAGCAGCGGGCCTGACAGACACCTCTAATTCATCACCAATGAGATTGCCTCACAGCAGCCACACCTGAGCCAAACGAGCCATGTATGAAAAACAACACAGCCAATGTCGGCCTGTAGATTGCAAAGAAAATTGGCAAAACTTGTATTGGAGGCATCCATTTGAACAGAACATAAAAGAGCGCTTAAGAAAAACAGAACACTTGAGAAGTACATGCATGCAAAATTCTGATATACAAACATGACTATTGATCTAAAAATTTTTTCAAGTTGAGCAAATGAACGAAAGCATAGGTGGTCAATTGAGCAAACTCAATAGTGTCAGGAAAAATCAAGTCAAAAACAATTTTAAAGCACAAAGCAAAAGGATAGAGCATAGATGGAAATCATGAAGGAAAAGAAGAAAAAATTGAAAACATCCTGGAACTTTCCAGACAAAAAGAAAAAGTTACCCCAAAAAATGATAGCCTGGCTTCAGTTTTCTCATCTCAACAATAAAAACCAAATGACAGTGAACAAGAACTCTTACAGATTACAGGAAAAAAGTACTTTACTCCATGAATCCCATATACCAACAAGCTCTCTCTCACTCATCAGGGTGAAAGAACAGTGTATTTCACCCCAGTATCTCATTTCAAAAATACTAACCCAAATGTCCATCATTGATAGACTGGATAAAGAAAATGTGGCACATATACACCATGGAATACTACGCAGCCATAAAAAATGATGAGTTCATGTCCTTCATAGGGACATGGATGAATCTGGAAACCATCATTCTCAGCAAATTGACACAAGAACAGAAAACCAAATACCACATGTCATCACTCATAGGCAGGTGTTAAACAATTAGAACACATGGACACAGGGAGGGGAGCATCACACACTGCAGTCAGTTGGGGGGGGCAGCTAGGGGAGGGACAAGGGGGATGGGGAGGGATAACATAGGGAGAAATACCAGATATAGGTGATGGGGGGATCAAGGCAGCAAACCACCTTGTCATGTATGTACCTATGCAACGATCCTGCATGATCTGCACATGTGCCCTAGAACCTAACGTACAATCAAAAAAAAAAAAAAAAAAAAGTACAGTCAGCCCCCAGGAGTCAGCCTTATCTTCAGGTTCTGCATTCTTGGATTCAATCAGCCATGGATTGAAAATATTCGAAAAAAATGAAAAATACAAATATAAAGGCAAAAAATATATAAATAAAAACAATAGAGTATAACAAGTATTTATATACCGTTTACAATGTATTACATATTATAAGCAACCCAGCAATGATTTAAAGTATGTGGGAGGATGTGTATGTGTTATGTGCAAATGTCTATGCCATTTTACATGAGGGACTTGAGCATCTGTGGATTTTGGTATGAGGAAGATGTCCTGGAACCAATCCTCCCAAGGACCTCAAGGGACCATTGGACTCAGAAAAGAACTCCATTCAAATAGCAAATGCATCCAAATGGAGACATCAAACTATGGAAAGGAGGAAGGAAAAAAGCCACCAGTGTTGGGCTGTAAGCTTGAATATATAGCAGGGGTGTCCAATCTTTTGGCTTCCCTGGGCCACAGTGGAAGAATAATTGTCTTGGGCCACACATAAAATACACTAACACTAATGATAACTGATGGGGAAAAAAAAATTCACAATGTTTTGAGAACGTTTACCAATTTGTGTTGGGCCTTATTCAAAGCTATCTTGAGCCACATGCAGCTTGCAGGCCATGGGTTGGACAAACTTGCTATATAGGGTTATATGGACTGCAAATGTGAAATGTACGTGCTAAATAAGGATTCTGGAAGAAAAAAGGACATAATACAAAGGAAAATCAAATTATTTTCTAGAAATAAAGCAGTAAACTATTTTTGCAAAATCTAGCATTTGGAAGTTGATGGGGAGAGGGTAGGCATTTCAACTGGCTCATTTTAGCAAGAGGAGGCAAGGCAAGGGAGAGAATACAGCTCTAAAAATCTCATCTCACAGGGGGAGTAGCGGAGCTGGAGGGTGTTGGTGGAGAAAATAGTTGGAAGTTTATTTTCAAACAGTAGAGAAGGATTACTTTAGGAATTTGGAAAATTTAGGAAAAGTAAATAATAACTTTCAAATTTAAAAGTTGAAATACAACAATTTAGAATCTGACTGCAAAACTACAGAGAAAGTAAAAAGAAGCCACAAAATGAAATAAATAATAAAAAGATGGAAGAAATAAAATCAAGTGTATCCATCATTATACCAAATGAGAATCAACTTCATTCTTCCAGTAAAAGACAGAGTGTCTGAGTGGGTGTAGAAGAAAATAAATAAATAAAAAAAAAGACAAATAAGGAAAGAAATCCAACTGTATGCTGTTTAAAAGAAAAGCACTGGGTCGGGCGCCGTGGTTCACGCCTGTAATCCCAGCACTTTGGGAGGCTAAGGTGGATGGATCACAAGGTCAAGAGATGGAGATCACCCTAACACAGTGAAACCCCGTCTCTACTAATCTTACAAAAAAATTAGCCAGGCATGGTGGTACACACCTGTAGTCCCAGCTACTCGGGAGGTTGAGGCAGGAGAATCACTTGAACCTGGGAGGTGGAGGTTGCAGTGAGCCAAGGTCGTGCCCTTGCACTCCAGCCTGGGCAACAGAGTGAGACTCCATCTCAAACAAAAATAAATAAATAAATAAAAAGGAAATCGCTGAACGTAACGTGGTGAGTGAAGGATGACTGATGGGTGACCAATGAGAAGCAAACAGAAGCAAAAGAGGGGTGACAAGGCATAATTAAAGTCGATGAGGTTAAGAATGGATAGGATATAATGCTAAAAAGCAGAACTGATGGAGAAGCTACAGCAATCATAAAGCTTTATGCAACCGATAATATAGCACCTAAGCAAAAATTGTTATAATTACAGATGTAATAATTTTTGCTTGAGTGCTATGATATTGCAAAATGAAAATGCAATTATTATGAGAGATTCCACTTGAAAACCTTGAAAAAATGCAATTACAGTGAGAGATTTCAATAGACCCTTTTTAGAGCTGAACAAATCTAGTAGATGGATAAGTAAAAACAGTTGAATAATTATTATACTTTATATAACATAAATTATACATACGCACATAGACACATTTATATATAGAGAGATATATGTACACACAAATATTATAAATATTATATATCCTAAAGAGAGTCATGTATTGGGTAACAAAGATAAACTA